ATTTCGGTTTTGTCCTGATTTCTATTTTAAACTGATGAGTTACAGTGTTGTAATATTTTTCTGGTCCATTAATTTTATGTTAACGACTAAATACTGCTAATAATAGAGAGAACGGACTCACTTAAGATCGCCCAACACGACAAAATTAAAAATGTTGCCGGCTCGGTTTGATAGACGGTACTGGAAAGTACACGTCACCGTCCACGTCCCCTAGCACAGGTCTATATAAATTGATTGACCCCAAGTGCGGGACCAATTTATATTCTTGGAACCTTGATTTATGTAACATACAGAAAAAACAGCATTCCTAAGGAACGCAAAAACGACGAAATGAGAACTGTTGTATGCTCTGTTTTTATCGGGGGTCGTCTTGGGTCTAACAATATCAATATTTCTATCCAGCTGTATTTCCAAAAAAACAGAATCTCTAAAACGTGTTCTGCATTAAAAAAGGAAAAATATCTGTATAATAGAATTATCTATTATCTATGTTCAGCCCTCATGATGATTATATCACTGCTTCCCCCATCAACCTGCTAATTTAAATATGTTTCGAAATGGTACAATAAGTAAATATATCAAATAATTAGGTAATTTAAGTACGAAATATTTCTGAATGTTTTTTCACATTCTCTTTCCATTGCATGTTCGATAATACTAGACAGAAGTTTGAATATTTGTTTATATGATGTACTATTGAAATAATATATTTTACCTTATTGCATATAGTGTTATTGTGTACCATTGAAAAATCTTATTGTGGTAATGAAATAAACGAAATAACGATCTGAACTCTTAAATGAAAGAATGCATTTGACTCAATGATTTAGTGCATAACTTTTTTACCCACTTACTGAATAAAGCATATAAAATTATCATTGATTTCTAGAACAACAGAGAGAAGATACATTTTGTTACATTAGGAACATCATTTTGTCTCATAACAGTGGAATAAGTCGATATAAAATTGAACATCATAGTGAAAGTTGTTGTTTTCTTCCAGATTAGAAACAATTGATTAAAAAATATCACAAGCAATTACTGCAATCGTTGCAATTGTTAGACTTTAATTTGGAAAAGGTATTATAGTAGAAATAACTATCATACTTTGGGTAGTAGTAAAATGCATTTTCTTTTTACATGATTGAAATGTTTCAAATAAAAGGAATTATTTCTGACAAATTTTGGGAATAGAAAGCTTGTAAAGTATATATTATATTTATTTTCTGTTTTAATAATTTTAAAGAAGATACTATAATATAGTCTTGTATTCTAGTTTAAAAGAGGTTTATGTTATGTGCAAAACTTGACATTCTGTAAAGCAGCCATTCAGAGGTTAATGTTTGTACAATGGGGTGTTTGAGAAAGTTTGAGATATTGAAATTATATAATAACTATCAACTGTAGGTCATGGTCATCTTGTTAAATTATATTGCTAAAATATTTAAGAATAGGCATGAAACGGTGTTACATAAAATAAGTAAAATATAAAAACAAAGATCAACAAGGAAAATTGGAATTCAGTGAATGCATAATTATGTAATTAGGAAGAATGAAAATGAGAAATATGAATACCTTTTGTCTCAGGTACGAATTGTATCTGATATGGTGACTAATAAAGTAAAATATAGGCTGATAAGACTGAGGATCAAATGAATTGGTTGATTATATAGAGAATAATAGGTTGGTGCCGTGGATGGAGAAAGTTTATCTGGCGAGGCGGAGGAATTTATTGGGTGAGCCGAAGGCGAACCTAATAAATTCCGGAGCAGAGCCAGATAAACTTTCTCCATCCACGGCACCAATCTATTATTCTATTTATCCTGTCACCGTTTGTTTTTTAAGACTTTTATTAGGCAAACTACCTTTAATCACACTATCGGAAATAATTCTATATAAACAAAGAAGGCCCGAAGCGTTCATTATTCTACAACAATGCACTCGCCGTTTTTATTATCTCCCTGTGTATTTTCACATTGAGGGCGCCATTTTGTTTGAAAAATGTGATAAATAATAACAATTTTTTGTCGAATTTTGTTGTGAAAACTATCTATAATGAAAGAAAATGGTCTAACTAAGAAAAAGAATTCGAACACCAATATCTTTTATTCAGTCGTTAACGCTGTACAGACGTTTAAAGTATTGTTTACGTGACGTCACAATGTAGCGCCAAACAGCACGTGCAAAACAATCAAATCAAGTACGCTATTTTAATGTCGCAAACGAGTTAAGTTTTACATTTATTTCACTTTTAATAATTTTTATTTCGCTTGAAAAATTATAGAGTGAAATAAAATAAACAAACAAAGTTTTATCAACGTTTCCAAAATTCGTTATTCTACACACAGAAGATTTAACGACAGTTTTTATATTTTTTCTTGAAAAGTAGTCCGGCAAACATGCATACCACGTGATCAAGTGCCGTAGATCAGTAAAAATATACGGCACCTTGTTATCGGGCCGAAATTGATACAAGTGACAGGATAAATGTATATATTTGGCAATGTGAAGTGTCAGCCACTATTGTTTTCATTTGAGTTGATAGTTATTTGCACATGGTCACAAAAATAGTTAAAATTTGTTTAAAAACTTATCCAGCCAAATTCATGACAATTTTTGGATATTTTATGATCATACAAATATAAACAACTTTCCGATTATCATGCAATAATGTGGTAATATGAATATCTATAGGGACGGGTAAAGAGGTTTATGTGTTGTTTGTGCCGTTTGAAACATGTTGGGGGGTTTCTTGTGTTACATTTCTGAAATCATATTTAGTTGTTTACCTTTATTTTTTATTATTGTTGTCTTTTTTTTCCTTTCTTATGAAAAATTGCACAAGCAAGAAAAAGTATGACATTCCATCTTCATTTGTGTAAGCATTACAACGTTCTGAACAAATACATGAGATAAATAGTGGCTGAAAGTTAGTACATTGTCAACAGTTTGCTAATAATAATGCTTATAGTATTGTCTTGATATGTGTTCTTGACCTTTAAGCTTCGAATCTGAATAACATCACCTCATTCTGGTGAATACTTTTACATAGCGATTTCAGACTATAAACTTATGGCTAAGTTATGCACCAGTCTAAAATACATTAACACTCGGTAATTCCGTTGGATGTTCAAAGAATTGAAAGATAAATTACAATGTCCTTGGCAATGATTTGAAAATAAACTTTTAACCCCATTATAGAATCTGATAAAACTCGAGTGAAACGCCATCAATATTAAAATAAAGACAAGACATTAAAAGCACTCAACAAGGGATTATATTTACTTGTTTCTGACAGGCAGCCATTCATTCAATGATTAAATCAGAGAGGAAAACAAAATAAAGATGCATTTATGCATTAAGTATTGCATTTAAAATCAAATATTTGAATCTATTTTCATTGTACGTCTCACGAAATATGATAAACAAGATCAATAAGGAAAGGCGGCGTTCAATGAACGCAGCCCCCACCCGACCAACTTGGAAGTTTTGTAATCTAAAGATAAATTTTGTCGTAACGAAAAAATTCATAAGACAGTTCAGTCTATAATGTCGCAAAGTGTTTTTACATGATTCAGGTAGGAACACTGGCAAATCTCAACGAGAAAAACATGGAATTGAAAATAAGAATCTACTACAAGTTAACCAAATATCTCATAAACAGCTATAGTCTACTAGATCATAATAACAATATACCCTTTTAAATCATTACAATGCGTGTCCCAAACGAACATATCTATGTACGTACATTTTAATTGACAAGAAATCTATTACTTAAAGTATGTCAGTTTACCCATGGCTTTAATTAGTATCTGATGTAAGTGAAAGGGAAATACGTACTTACAAGATATGCTTCATTTCTATTAACACAGGTAACATTTCATTCTTTGTATTCAGACTATAAGAACGAGTATCTTTATTATCTTGTATATGTTCGCGTTTGACCGTTGGGCGTTAAAAGTCCCCACCTATTTATATCAACACTATGTTCTCAATATAAATCGTTCAATACAGGTAACTGATGACAAATTGCTACGCTACTTAAAATGTTACAAAGGTCGCTTACCTGTACCCAAGTCACAATATTTAACATTTTAGAATATTGCAACAGCGGAGCTGCATTTTGATCTCCAATGACATTTTTCTACAGATGTTTTCAGTACACAGATGAAAATATCCAGCACTTGTATAAACGAATCATTTTTCTTGTTTGTTTTACCGAGCAAAAACACAATAATTTATTAAGTCACATTGCGCCGAAACATGAAAGATTATTTTGGCTAACCTCGGCTGTTGCAAAGAGCAACAACAGGGGTCAATGTTACGAGATTGAGTTAAGAGATGCATAGACAACAGAAATTTAAACCCATTAAGTCGCCTATTACGATCACGGAAGGAGAAACGGTGTCTTCAAAGCTTATGCACAAACTCTTCAGCCAGCCCCAATCCCTCAACCAGCACTTTCTTTTATTTTGCTTTATTTTATATGTGTTGCTACATATTAAATGTCTCACAATTACTTCTTCATGCATTGCCGTAATATGTACCCATTGGCAATTGTTATAACATTTTCAATATTATAAAAAGTAAATGCTAAGGGTTAGTAGTTAACAGTTTTCATACCAGCACTACCTGGAGAGTATGTGTTTGTGGTACCTATGTCCTTTCCAGATTCCAATATCACTGTTTACACCCTTGTTAAAAATTGTCAAATTTTGTTGATATGTGTTTATCATGTCAATTTGTCTTTTTTAAATACCGTACATATTATCATACAAATGTTGAATTATCACTATTGAAAGCCAAAATTTGACTTATTTCCATTAGGAGTAATAAAGAAGCAGACTCTCCAATACGTCTGTAGCTTCCAACATATTATTGGAAATAGCTTGGCAACGAACAAACGCAAGCGCGAGTGGCAAATAAGAAGTGGATTTGCGTTGGTAAATTGCATCATAATTCTTTTGGATTCGGTTGAATGATAACGCGAATTAAGTATAATGGAAAATTACGAAAATTTGTATATGAACACTGAACATGGTCAACAAAATGGGTCTAATACATCAGCAAATACTATGGATTTAAATGTTAACGAAATGTTTATTCCTATATATCTGTATATTATTGTAAGTTTAGTGAATGCTGTGATATTTATTGTGGGAACATTTGGAAATATTTTAGTAATTATCGCAGTTCTTAAATTTCGGGAAATGCGAACGCCAACAAACATGTTTTTGCTCAATCTAAGTGTTGCTGATATTTTAGTGTTGTTAATTTGCCAACCTGCTGGTCTTGTGGAATTTTTCGGGAAAGATAGATGGTTTCTTGGACAAATTATGTGTAAGTTTTTGTTTTGTTTATTTTTCTTTAAAAAATCGATAAAATATAGAAAAAAGAAGATTTTGATAATTGACATCATATTATTTTATTATGTAATATTTTCTTATCATTTTGGTTTATTGTAAAACCTGTCTTTAAAGCAAACATCTTGTAGTTAATAATGATAAATAATATTATATAGTGTCCTTCTAACTTAGGTTTCCATAACTGTATGAATAGTCTATGCATAAAACTAATTAAATATGTATTTTCTATTCTATCGTTTTTCTTTCAGTCAAGTATTTATTTCTAAACGTACAAAACGTACCTACTCAGGATCGACGTTTTTATCGTTTACACTTTATATTTATCACTTCATCATTCTTTAAACTAATTCACGATCTATAATCTGCTAGTCTGGTCATATGTATCTATGATTGTTCTAGTACTTTTCAAACATTCTTATTTATACTTCATTCTGAAATGAAATGAAAATGAACAGGATACAGATAATTATGTTATTTGCTCATATCATTTACGAAATTAAATATTGTAATCCTTTGATGCTCATTACATAACAATTAAATGCTTTAGGCACTACAAAACAGTAAATGATTAAATTCATACCGAAGTTAGTTGACATTCGTCATCATTTATATGTTGCGTTGCATCATATAATTTCTGTATCATTAAGAGACGTTTCACATTTTGTCATTTTAATTGAAAATATGTCTTATATAAGCGCATTTATTTATCAGTTATATTATCTACATAAAAACAAATACATTAGTAATTATTTACTGAATTTATAGCTATTTAATCCATGAAATTAAAGTTGAAAGTTATTCAATCGTACAAAGAAATTTAGACTAAATATAATGAAAATAAAAACAAATCCTAAACAATAGTAAAATAGAAAAAAAAAATCACTTGAATTTATATTTTCTTCTAGGTAAGCTGGTGCCTTTGATGGAGAATGGAGTTTTACATGTTTCGATTCTGACAATGATTGCAGTTACAATGGAACGATATATTGCTTTATGTCATCCTTTTAATAGGAACAGAATGTCTGACAAGATTTGTTCAACAATCAAAATTTGTATTGCTATCTGGATAGTTGGTTTTGTAATAGCATTACCTTTTCTTTACATGACAAAACAGGAAGATGCCCGATTTTACGATGGAAGTCCAATAAAAGTTTGTAGAACAATCATTGATGAAACTTTGCGCTATATTTACATCGTTATGATAGCAATTGTATTCTTCATTTTGCCGCTCATTGTTCTAATCAGAATATATACGAAAATAATAAAACAGTTGACATCGGACACGTTGAAGTGTTTAACAAAAAACGACAAATCAGCACTGACTACGATTCGTGCCAGAAAACAAGTAGTTAAAATGCTGATTGTCATAATTATTTTATTTTTCTTGACATTGTTCCCAATGCGATTTATGACACTTTGGCTTATATTTACACCAAGCAATGACGTCACCAAGATTGGACTGGAAGCATTCCTTAATCTTATATCTTGGACCAGAGTCCTTATGTACATCAACAGTGCGTGTAATCCAGTCATATACAGTGTAACATCGACAAAGTTCAAATCGGCATTTAAAAAAGTATTGAACCGAAATGTTCACTCCCGACTTGTCGGCACGATGTCAACAAGATGTAACGGTAACGAGAATATACTAAGACCTGGTAAATATCATTATTGTTAATTCAGTATTTATATTTGTACTAATACCTTGTTGGTTCAAAGTAAAATTGTATCTATTTGACCCCATAAGTTAAAATATGATTATATGCATTTTTATATTCAGACATGCACAAAGTTGCGAATCACAGAATTTATCACAGAAAACACAAGTCGTGCCTTAAAAAATTTAAAACGTTTATGAATAGAAAGAGTTGAAGTATCGCATATAATGGGATATTCCCGAAATCTTTATGTGCTTTTAATGACATTTTATAGTAATTGTCACTTGATAAAAATAGCATAAATATCTATCTTGTTTTCAATTAAGACATTAAAATTGATTATTTTATTGTGTTTCCTCATTTTATTTTGCAGTTATAACATACAAACCTGCATTTCGAAACAGAAGTGGTGATACACGAAATGAAGAGAATCCTTATCTAATAATAAAAGTACTTATTCTACAAAATAATGAAAATGTTCCTAATTGCCAAGGAGACGGAATGGTAGAGGAAGAAAACTATTAATTTCAACTTCACAAAATCATAATGAATATAAAAACTAAAGAAAATAGTATATATTTCACAGTTATTAAGCTAGGGTATGCACAGACGTAGATAATATTAATAAACGCAATCAAACCATTTATGATGTAGCTTCAACAACCAGGCTATGCTTTATCAAGCCTAATCTCTATACAGGTATCTTGTAATTACCACTTCCGAACAGTCTCAATCAGTCAATTTTTAATTATGCCGTTTTAGACATTCTTTAGCAATTCTCAAAGGCATGTGTTATGGTAATTCACCGAAGTCACCAAACGTTTCATTCAAAAAGTCCATTGACTCTTTTAGGGTATTTACAATTTTAAGCCATACATGGTGCTTAGTGTTCAACACATTTTACTGTTTGACACTTCGCTAGCCTCTTGATTACATATGACGGACCACATGAGAGACTATAATATGTAGTCCTTAAAGTCATTTATTAAGTCACAATAAATTTTCGTCTCTTGACTTTATGGAATTCTTTTTATTGCGCTGCTTTCCAAAAAAGGCGTACAAAATAAGTTCTTTAGCTATGACAGGCTTATACTTTAATTTCCTTGTTTGTATTTTAGTTAGTCTGCCCAATGTAACCCAACATGTTCCTTTCACAATTGCACAATGTACCTCGTCAAACGCAATTCTAACAGTTGTTATGATTACAAAAGCTGAAATAAGTAAAACACTGAAATGATCATGTGGATACATATAAAAAAGAAAACCCAATGCCTATAAGAAAAGTAATCAGTGTCTTAAAGGAAGTCAGTCTGAGACCAGCCATACAATCACCTACAAGGGCCCGACGAAGGGACGAAAATAAAGACACGCTGGGTTTTAAGAACTGTCCTGTATAGAATCCCCCGTTTGGTCCGTCAGATGTAATCAAAAAGGAAATATACCTTGATTAGATTTGGCCCTATTAAGTGTCTTTTATGGATTTTGTATTTTTCTATTGTTCTAATGTGGAGGATGGTTTGTCTTGTGATATCCTATTTTTTTACTTGTTGCCACTGGGAAGTATTTATTTTTACATTTCACCTTTATTTACATATTTGGACAAACATCCCCTTTTCTGTTTCCTTGTCTTAACACCAGACCCATATCGCTTTACTTCTTAAAACATCCCTTTAAATTTCAAGTTTTATATGTTCTCCTGTTATTCCTGCTTTTTATATTGAAGTTGCAACAGTAATTGCTACTCTCTTCTATCCTTTCCCCGCCTTTGTGCACCCAAAATCTGTGTGCTCTGTGCATTTCTGTCTGGTATCTTGTTTAGCCGGAATTTGTCGGAATGGCGTTCTATGAACGTCTTCTTGCCTTATAAACTTTTATTCTCATTTATTATTACTATTATTATTGCGGCCTTTATCCGATTGTACTTAACCAAACAACATGTAATTATGTCAGTCTAGCACATGAGAACAAAGATTACCGCTCGAGAGCAGCATGCACGGAATGCAATACCAACAATATCCCGCAAATAAATTTTCATTCAGAAGCCATTGTAAGAAGCCTTCATTCCGCATGATTGTTAAAAAATGACAAACATTCCTCTAATATAGTTGTTATCTGACCCTGCGCTTCTTAGTAACACATCATAGATGTAGCATTTTCTAGTATTTTCAATGTATTTAAACCAACCAAAGCTACTTAATTCTATAGTTACCGCCAATGGCAAATGCGTTGAATATGATTATTAGGGTATAATGAGAGTGTTAGATAGTTTTACTACTGCTTCATTTAACATAATTAAATTATGTAATATTGTTGCTTTCGACGGGCATTTGATGAAGACTAAAAAGTTGATGTCATAAATATGCGTAATATTGTAGTTCAAATTGTTCATGTTTGCCCTGATTTTCAACTGTCTGCTGAAATCACATTCGTATTCTTGTTTTCTTTTTTATTGTCATTATTACTGATTGCATTATTATAATATTATATACAAACTGTTGGTAAAGAACACATATGATGCTTTTAAACTTTGTTAATTTATTTTTTGAGAGAAAAGACATTTAATGGTACCTGAACACGATATATACATGGTTTATATAATGCTGATGGTTTTGACTATATAGTATTTGTTTGTCATGTGTATCAATGTACATGTAATATATATTTTTTGTAATTAAGTAACAGTACTATTTTCTTTTCACTTGTTGAAATCGAGATGTGCTTTTACTTATTTCTTTCAAAAGCTGCTTTTTCCTTTAGAAAATCCTTTGCTTTATATTCTTTTCTTTGACTTTATTATTTGATTAAAAAGATGGTGTAATTATGTTATTACCAATTATTTACCAAAACGTTTTATGTATAACATTTGTTGGTACAAATTTCTAGAGATGATTATATTATGTTCTTCCTGACAAACGATATTTATTTTTATAATCAGAATAGATGAGTACAAAACTTATTTTGTTTAAAAGACATATTCATAATGCTAACAAGTATATGAAATTTACAGACATACACATCAATATATCATTATGGAAAATTTATTTCAACATGCGTGAGTTATTGTTGATAATTTTATCATTTCGATATGTGCATTGTTTAGTACCTTTTGCTAGCCGTTCCCTTTTTAAAATGACATATTGAATTATTTACACAATTCATGTTTTTGTTGTAGTATTGTGCCCCATAACTTACAATACCAGATACTTGAATGATTACTGACATTCCGCATTTACATTATGTCTTCAATGCGGATAATCCCGACGATTTTTCATAAAATTTCGGAGTTAATAAGGATTAATATTAGTGACTTCAGAAGGACAAAATCAAAGGATATAATTTTTGTTTTGTATAATGAGTAAAGATTGTATTTATTTGACATTCAACGGAAAATAAAGTTAACTTCTTTTAAACTATGGACTGAAAAATAAGTATACAAATAATGTACCTTTTGCATGTATTGTATTTCCTTAGTTCAAGTGGACATGTAATACGAAATAAATTAGCTCAACAAATCCCAACATGAACATACTATATGTATACATGTTTATTTCTTCTAGCGTAGAAGCTCTTTGTATTCTCACTATTGTGTTCGAGGTCCTTGGCCAACGGTTTACGGGAAGGACCGAAAAGTTGTCATTGTATGCGTTCTTTATTAATAATGTTAGAATATTAATATACATAAGTCTAAGATAATTGACGTTGTTACTCCTTCCACATTCGTTCAATCAAAACAAACAATGTCATATATAAAGTTGACAAAATCAGCGCTTGAGATAGCAAAGCTTTTATTCACGATCTTAAAATTATCAAATTGGTAAAATAATACTTACTAGTATATAGCACATACATTTCTAGCCGATACCTTTTTACTTCTGCTTTAGTATTAATGTCAAAGAACCTGCCTTTTTAAGCTGCGCACATTTAAGTAATATTCAATCAAGTTACTGCCAGGATATTGGTCATAATCACATTAAAATCCAAACGGTATAACCAATTGTTACAGAATATGAGATTTTAGCTGGATAATCTGATATGAAATGTAGTGAAAAGTACATATTGACCAAGGCAATAGCCGCGATAATTATAAATAATTGTTTTCAGTCTACATCGCATCATATTCACATAAAATTATATATCTTGTTTTATTATACAATCTGCAAATAACTTATATATACGTACATGCCTTATAAAATATGTCTATAGATTCGACGAAAACTGACTTTTCTTTAGTGTTTTCTTTTCGGAAACTTTAAATTCGTTATTATAGTCTTAATTCAACATACAAGTGTCAAAGTCTTTATAGTTCATTTACTCCACTCTCTAGAGTTTCGTCAGGAACAGACATGACCTCAAGTCATAATATATCCATTGGTTGACTGTCGGAAAATAACGGTGAATATAGTCTGATATTAATCTATTATTTTCCTTCAACAAATCGACGATGCTTAAGACATGTCAAAGTTCTTTAAAGTCAAGATAATACATGTAGATTAGGGTATATCGTTATTGTCATTAACTCAAGGAGATAACATTTCAAACAAAGCAGTCAACTTATGTTGTTGTTGTTGTTTTCTGTAATTAAAACAATTGTCAAAATGTTACTGGAAACTATATGCGATAAAGTGAATCAGTATGCAAGATAATAATTCGTCCATTTTATTGTGACGAAATAAAAGAAGTGACTATGATATTTGCATAAAAATTCATTTTCTCTCAGCCACGGAACTACCAAAATCTCTCTACTCACGTAACAGACAAAGATGTCAATATCAATACTTACATGTTAAAGAACATATACGGCTGTCCAAAAACACGAACGCTTTTAGACGTTAGACTTTAAGGCAGTTAACACATTTATAATTTTGATATCAAAAAAGGAAATTGCTCTCTACTCGTATTACGAATGGTAATAGGCATTGTTCAAATGTTAACAATTGTATCCGGGGGTAGCTACTTTTTCAGTAACAGCGACTGTTTTTGCTCTTATTAGTGAATAAGGTTCAAGACAAAACAATAACTTACAAAAATATATAACCTTTAAGATTGCGTAAAAATGTCGACATTTTCATTTTAGTTATACAAATTATTTCAAAGTGAACAACTTAAGATATTCACAAAATTCTTGGCAATAAACAAGTATATAAAGCCATGTCTTAAATCAAAAAGAAACATGTGAAGCATTTTACCCATTGTTTACTCTATAATCATGTTGTCACGACAACGTTGTTATTTAAATTGCCACAATTACAAAGAATATACGATAATAAACAAACAAAATAATCATATTTGATCAAGGCATTTATTATGACTCGTTTCAGTGGAATAATAATTAATATTTCTAAAAATAAGTTTTTTTTGCGATGATAATTAAATGAAGAAACTTCCAGTTTTATGAAAACCTAATTGTGTACATTTTCTTGTTTATATAATTCAGTGCGCATGCAAATGTTTATATACTGACATTTACACCGTCGATTACATTTACCCTATGCGATACCCCATGGTTAATCTTTTGATAAAAAATA